AGTCGCGAGAAGGTTGGGTGCAGGTTTGGGGTTGGGAAACCCGAAGGCGACGCGTTGGTCGCTCGGAAGGCGAGGTCAACGGACCGTGCCTGATTTCCGAAAGTTGGAATTGTACACGCATAGAGTCCTTGAGTAATGAATTAGGGAAAATTCAGTTGGTGTGCCTTGTGCTTGCAAGTTGGCAATTCGTGATTCGGGCCCAAAAGTTGAGACACGTCGACCGACCTAGCTTCAAACATGGAAAGTCGACTGAAAAAGGTGAACTATCAGCTTCAACTTCGAAGTATTATAGCTTGGAACTTGGTTGTCCCAGGCAGTTCTGTGGCGAGAACTTTGTCTTTTCCGAGATTCCAGTATTTCCTTCCAATAAGGGTCACGTTACGCACACTCCATGTTTGTCCTGCTACTGTTCCTAAGAAGTTGCACCCCACCTTTAAGCCTAAAATTCAAACGCGCCCTTATGGGTTTATCCATACGAAGGTGCGTATTTCTGCCGCTGTCATATGGACGAACCGTAACGCGCCAGCGTGGCATGCTGTAATCCTGGCCAAGTTAGCGATAAGACCATTCAACAGTAACGCACCAGTGTAAACGATGTGCTGCTCGTGTATGTTCGCACGAGTGACAAGGTGGCTAATCGGGATAGGCATATGGGATGATAAGGTTGCGCATGTGTACCCGCTCCTCTTCCCCTTACCTTCCCGTAGCTACCGTCCACGCCCTCGCGTGAGGTCGTCGAACTACCCTGACTGTTACCTCTGAAACAGAACACCCAAGCTCTCGCCGGCCTGTAAATATAGGCCCTAACAAGTAAGGCAGATGTGTAGCTCCTCTTTCCCCTTTCCTTCCCGTATCTACTACCGTCCACGCCCTGCGCGAGGTCCTCGAGCGGCTCTTACCTCTGAAAAGAACACCCCAAGGACACCTGCTCATTTCTTTCGCATCCCATCCGTTTTCTGGTTGTGGCAGTTGCAAGCAGAAGAGGTCACTGCCTTCTAACGATCGCTCCTCTGTCTTAGCGACGAATGTTTCGTTGCTCCTCTACGCTAGACAAGACAATGTTTCTCTCTTCCTTCAACTGACAGTGTCATGATCATGGCGCTAAACACGTTCGTCCCTCTCTACTCTGTCTACTGCGTCCTGGCCGTCATCATGCTTCTCGCGTTCGCCGTTGCAAGTAGTGCCTACCGTGTCGCCGGGGATGGTCGGCGACAGCGTACTATCGGACGGACGACCTTTTCAGACAAGCGTCGCCCGCATCCGGCGAGTCGTCGCCCGCGCCAGGTGGCTGCGTCGGTAACGCCGAGTCAGGCGCGCATCAAGCTCCAACCCTCGCAATGTGAGTCTAATTTGTCTCGCCGTATCATCGTGGTGGATGGCTTGTGGAAACACGGGATGATTTCAGCCGTGTCAGGCTAAAGGCGACGCTAAGGCTTGTAGTGGCAGTAAGTGCACATTGTATCATGTTACCTCTTGCAGGAGTGGGTATTCCCCTTTTAATTGGCAACTAGGTTGCGTTTTGGGATTGAGCGGCATTGACGCTTGATACGGTCATCAGGTCCCTGATCTAAATGGATCGATTTTTGTACGGGAGATTAATACAAAGAATGGCTGAACGTTCGAGGTGAGGTGTTCGTTTCTTTGCTCAACCCTAAATTACCCTAACACATGCTAGCAAGTCCGTCTGTTTTCTAATTGCTAAACGGGAGGTACCGCGCACGGCGCGGATGTAGCCAAGAGAGAAGAGTAGTAGTAGCAGCGGATAGAAGTAGAAGAGGATGGATCCAGAAGCGTCTACGAGAGAGTAGATAGGAGAAGATCCAAGACTCATAGGAGATAGGAATAAGGATTCCAATATTAGAATAAGAAGATGCAAGGATGGAAGATAATCCAACAAGTTTGAGAGAGGCTACTTATCGTGCTAGGAAGGTGATAGCGTGGCTCGGAATGGATCCAGCATCGCCATGCTTTTCGCATGGCATCTTGGCATAGCGCCTTGATGTAGCTTCTAATCACTGACGAGGATAAGAGAGTGCGTTCCGAGGTTAGAAGCTATCTATATTCGGAGCTAACGAGGCAGCGGGGTATTCCCATGCACGCTGGCATGGCGAATTCCATCTTGTAACAAACCAAGAAGTTAAAAGCAGCTGCCCAGAAAGAAATATCGAGAGCCAAGCCAAAGAACGTGCAATTGCTGCAGCACTCGGCCAGGGCTCCTCAACATAGTACGTCGAGAAGCTGTCCATTCGACATCATGGGCGGAGTTGCTTGGCTTGGTCCATGTTGGCCATTACGGACGATCCATGACAGTCTTCCCCTTCTTCCTGCCTTTCCGCCCCCCAGTGCAAGTGCTTCTGGCCCTGGACGGAGCATGGGGTCTCTGGGGGCTCAACGTATCAAACGTGTTCTGTGACGATTGGAAGATCGGGGAGGCTATGTTAGCTTCTGGGTCTGTGAAGTGTAACCGGCACGGCATGGTTACCAACCTGTAAGCTCTGTGATGAGATGTGCGCTTTGAAAAAGGAGTAGCGGGTGCAGGGGGGAAGGAGGAGAAGTGAGGTGGGGTTGATAGGGGAAGGGAAGGGCGGGCAGGGTAGGGCTGTTTGGCATGATGGATGATGGAAGAGAGTCTACACTGCAAGTGCATGGTGTCCATTCCATGCTATAGGAACGTGCTTGGAAGCTAGTAAAGCAAACTTGCATACCTTTGATTTGAGTGTGGCAACTACTTGCATTCCATACCAGTGCAGCAGGCACTGGTGAAGCTGCTGCAGCAATGCCACCGTTTCCATTGAAACCGTACAGCTCTGGTTTTAGATTTGTTTTTGATATTATTGTTTGTGTTTTTGTTTTTGCGTTGCAAAAATTGTATGATCCGTGTAGGCATGCGACTTTCTTTACTGCCGAGTACACAGGAGTCGTGCCAGCAGCCATCACAGCCCTCTCTGCTCTTCAAAATCTGTCAGTGCACACCATTGCTGGGATGGAGGCATTGGGATGGCTGTAGGGGTACTAGAAAGGATCACATGGGTTGTTGTGGCTGCACTTAACCACCACTGGAACACGCGTGCTGCCGAACGAAGAATCCTTGTATATCTCTTGCTTTCGTCATTCCACACGCTACTCGATGGGTGAATTATTATCCGACATCTACACAGATCTTGGAATTCCCTAAGCTCACAGATCTTGGAATTCCCTTTGTTAAGTCACCCTGCACTCTTGCATTGCATGCCTCTCTGCAGAGCCCTGCCTCTGCCTGGATTCACTGGAAGCTTGGAGATTCTCGGCCATTTCCCCAACTTGCAATATGTGTACGCACCTGATTCCGCTCCACCATTGCACCTTCTCGCTTCGAACGGCATGCTCGCATTTCCTTGGTGTACGTCATTCTGACCACTCCCACCTATCGCTCTCTCTCCCACATGTGAGCTGTGCCTAACCCACCCACTCGGTTCTCCTGGCACATGACAGAGATCTGCACGATACCCCCTTAAGTGGATCCATTCCTGAATCCATCGGCAATGCCACGGGTCTGCAGCACCTGTAAGAGGGGGGTTTGGTGCCAAGGCATGGAAGGGGGCATGCAGTTGCTGCATTGGTTAGCCCAAGACAGGATGAAAACCCGAGCTTCCAGCATATGTGTTGCATTGCTGACGGGGACAGTTCGTATCACAATTTTATTGATACAAATTCTCAAGATGCAGTCTTATGTGCCTGCCACTGACTATCTTCCCCTGCTTATACGTGCTTCTGTGCACCGATTCGTACGCATGCCATGCCAGTGAACTCTCAGGCCTGGCTGTCAGTGGAAGTCTCCCGTGCAGCATCAGTCGCCTCACTGGACTCGAATTCCTGTACCTCCCCCTCTCCTTCCTAATCCTTCCTCATTCTCTTCCCAAAACTCCTTCCTCTCTTTTCTTGAACCTCACCCCCTCTCCTCTTCCACCGCCTAGCTCGCAAGCACATCACTTACACCTCGTGTTGGCACGTGCTTTATGCGCATTGCTTATGCCTCCATTCATCCCCTTCTCCTCGTTCTTTCATGCCGCACCAGTTAGTTGCTACCATGTACATCCATCCTTCCCACGAGGTCCCTTTCCCTTCATCTGCATTGACCCCAACATGCAGGCGCATTGGGATGCCTCGGCTGTTGGGCCCCCCTCCTGATCAATATCATGATGGAGACCCAGCAGAGTGAGACTGATGGGGATGACTTGGGGCTCTTGCTGTTGACTGCTGCATGCCATGCTGCATGATGTGTGCAAGCAGTCAATAACAAATTAACAGTGTAACATGGCTATGGCAGAGTGCAGCTGATGCTTGGGATGCTCCAGGAAAGCACCTTGTGCAACAGGGCACAGTGCAGCAGGGCAGCTCATCTCATAGGACAGTGCCAGCTGTGTGTTCCCCCCTCAGCTCACACGCCTCCTTTCTTGCCACCCCTCAGTGCCTTTTATCATCCAACCTGTTCAACCCAACCACACGTGCGCACTGCTCCATGCACCCACACACATGGGGCCTCGGCTCCACCCCCTGCTGTCGTGACTGCTGGATTGGACTGCTGCTGCTGTAGCCCTATGCGGCTACTGCTGCTGTGGCTCCCTCTCACGTTGTGTGCAAACGCAGCCCACAGAGAGCTAACACCCTCCGTCTCCCTCCCCCCTACTGTTTGTCTCTCGTGCAGCGCTCAGTCATCCATGAGTCCCTCTTCTTTGCAAGGCACTTAGTTCTGAAGGGCACAGCACAGTGCAGTAGGGCAGCTTATGTGACGATGCCAGCTGTGTGGTCCAAGCAGCTCCATTCACAGGCCTTAGTGCCTCTCATTCTCAAACCTGCTCAATCCCACGTCCTCACTGCTCCATGAAATGAACCCACGCACATGGGGCTTCTGCTCTTCCTTGTGATCTGAATAACTACTGCCGGTCCTTCTCCCTCTGTGACTACTGGTGGTACTGTGGTCTTTCATGCTGTGTGCAAACGCAGTTCACCGTAGGTTAATCATGCTCCTCCCCTCCGTCTCCCTTTCTCCTGCTGTCTGTCACTCTCGCAGCATTCTATCGCTTTATCACGCGTTCATGAGTCCCCCCCTTGTGATGCAAGGTTCCATGGACGACCTCTCGTGTCTCGCCCCACTCACTCGCCTCAACGACCTGTATGCTTCACTTCTTTCCAACCCGCCTGTACCTTTATTCTATCTCATCCCCTCCCCCTGCCACCCTTTCCCTCCCCTCTCACTTATCCCTGCCCGCCCTCCCCTCCCCTCTCACTTACCCTTGCCCGCCCTCCCCTCTCACTCATCCCTGCCAACCCTCCCCCCCCTCCCCACTCACTCATCTCTGGCCGCCCTCCCCTCCCTTCTCTCTCATCCTTACCCACCCATCTCTTCGTGCTCTGCCAACACCTGCTCCTATTCATTGCGCAATGGTTAGTCCAGCAGAATAGTGTTTGGAATCTGGTCCCCTTGCAATCCGCTGGCTGCTATCCCCCTCACTTACATTTTCCACACGGAAAATCACCCGCCGCTGGCGTGCTTCATTTACATCACCCCAACTCTCTCTCGGTCTTTCATCTTCTCTGTTGCACTCATGCCTATCTGCCTTCATCCTCAGCGCTCTCATGAGTCTCAACCTGACTGCACGAGAGCTCCCTTCATCTTTCTCCGCCTTTACTTTACTCTCACACCTGTAAGTCTGTCGAGTGTCTTCCTTCCTGCTCCTTGAGCGCATGCCTTGATGCATTATTGAGGTAACCGTCGAAGCAATATCATGGTGTTGGTGTCATCTTAAATGTTCTCTTTGTGCATCTGTAAAACGAATCACGTGCATGAGCCCACTCATTGCATGCATTGCATCTCATAAGCACATTGCATCTTATGGCAAAAACAGAATCAGCAGCAATGAATCCATCTCCTATGTTGCGTCAGGCGATATAGGTGAAGTAGACACAATTCTCTTTCATAAACTCATAGGTGTTATTACTGAACTAACAAGGCATCTCATGGTTGATCCGGCAAGACAGCAGAAGCTTGGAGGTGCAGTGACAGCAGTCGCTGCATTGCACTGCCACTGTCCACCTCACATGTCTCTCACTTCCTTTTTCACTCTGTGGCAGTGACCTAAGTTCCCTTCCCATGACCCGCTTACCGCCGTGGATCGGTTCACTCTCCCACCTCACTCTTTTGTGAGTGGCACCACGAACCCCTCGCCCTACCCGCCCCCCACTATCATCAGCACTCCCACCTCACTCTTTTGGAGTCTCCGTCTTCGCTTATTTGGATTCCATCTCCTCTCTCATCTCCTTGCACGTCTCCAGTGCATCATGTGCTCCCAGCTACAGTCTCGCAACTTCCGCACTCACTGCTCGCTGCTGAAGCGTTGCCAAAGGTTGCTACAACGCAACCTGCGCAAGCACCACTTTGGATCACGTGCTTCCCTCGGCTATCTTTACTGTGCTGCCCTGCCCTGAACTGGTCACACGTGGCTCATCGCAGAGTCAGTTAGGGCCATGCACGATGGTTAGAGGGAAGAAGTCAGGGCCATGTACGTTGATGCCACTTGCAGGGCTTCCCACCCATGCCTCTCCACCAATTGAAGTGCTCCTGCGCGTCCCCCAACCCTCCTGCCCTTGACGGCCTGCAGGGATGTCACTGGCAACTATGACGTCCACCGCTCTGCACCGTTCCCCACCGAATGGATGGCGCTCACAGGGCTGAACGTGTTGTGAGGCATCCACCATCTTGGTTTGACACCCGGTGCTGCTCAGCTCACCGCTCGCTCAAAGCCATCCGTTGATTATATTGCCCTTCAAGAAGCACTGCGCCCACCCCTCCTCTGCCCTTCCATCTTCACATTGCCCAGTAGGGCACTCGACCCAACTCCCGTGCCCACCAGGCACAACCCCGTGCGTTTGTCCACTCTCCCCTCTCCTTCCACCTCTCCTCTGCATCCGTTACTTACATAACATTAACCGGTCGGGCTCTACCCACTTCCTTCCTTGCCCACCAGCCACCAGTGCGCCCTCCCCTCCTCCTTCTCCCCCCCACCCCCTCCCACCTTCAGGTGGGCCGGTCTGAATGGCTTCACTGGCTCTATCCCCTCCACCATCTCCGCCCTCACCAAACTCACTGACCTGTACGCCCTCACCGCCCTCAACCAATTGTACGCCTCCCCTCCCTCCAACCCTCTCTCGTCTTCCACACCTGTACGCATCGACTTCTCACCCACTCTCCTTTTACTTCCTCTCCTCCCCCGTCTTTCCACGCAAACCCCTATAAAATTGGAAGAAAACAAAATGACACGCCAAAGCGCCAGGTTGTGAACACCACGGCCTTACACGAGCTGGAGATTGGACAAAGCTCTCCCAGTGGTCCTTTCCCACAACACAGCGCCATCCTCCAACCTCCCCCCCCCCCGACCCTCTTCCTTTCCTCGAAATGGCCCCACCAGGGCGCTCTTTTTCAACAACCTCTCAGGGAGCATCCCTGCTGGGATCACCAAGCTCAAAGGCTTGCAAGATCTGTAAGACGTCACATCTTCTCCTCTGATCATTCACCTTCACCATGCCTTGCTTGTGACCCAGATCAGTGCGCCTACATAATATAATCGGGTTGATTCTGGGTGTATTAGTTCAGGAGCAACCAAGGTTTGGCGCTTACTTGCTTGTGCATGAGTATTGTCCTCTGTATAGCACCCCGCCCCTTTCAACTCTGTATTCCCTTTCGTCCAGACGCAGGATGCTAATTTGGGGTCTTTGAGACGCTTGAAAAGACGCTTGCATGGGCAGGCCAAAAAAGACGTCTGGGCAGCCAAAAAACATCTTAGGGTACATTATTCCGTGTCATACACGAAGCCAGACACGAAGTTGAGATTAGGAAGACCCAACAGGATTTGGAAGGCAGACAAATTTAGGTTCTGGAGGCACAAACCGAGTCACTTTGTGTCTTTCGAAGCTTTGACCTGATGTCTGACCCGCGATAAGAATGTACCCTTATAGGGCATGGGGTGGGGGGGGAGAAGGACGTAGCACTCATTTGAGGCAAATTTCCCCCCCACCAATAATTTCAGGGCTTAGAAGTAGTGCGGTCGAGAGGGTTGGGTTTACATTTTTTGTTTCAGAGGGTTTACAAATTTGGTTGGGGGGCTGATTTTAAAGGTCAAAAGGGGTTGGGGGGGGTCAAAATTTTGCGAAAGTAACTTTTGCGACAAAATCCCGAATGTCAATTTCGCGTTGGGATTTTTTTTTTTCGGTCAGCCCGAAGAAACACCCGCCAAGCGTCCTGCGTCTTGGCGTGCGTCCGGACGCTGGATGCAAGACGCCCAGTGTGTCTTTATCCACATGGCTTAAGGCAGTCACAACTCCATAAGCAGTCGTTCGTACAAGCCTCTCCATTATACGCATTGACTCCACTGTACAACGTCGCTGCATTGCACTGCCAATCTCCATCCATACTACACATGCCTGCCTTGGCCTCTCCCCCACACGTGCCTGCCTTGGTCTTTCTTCACACGTGCCTGCCTCCACACAACACAGGAGGCTCGCATTCAACAATCTCACCGGCGCCGTTCCTGCCATGCCCTTTGAGACCTTGTGAGTCTCCAATGCTTGCCTCTCCTGGCATGCTCTTATGAGTGGCTTGGGTTGAACGCACCTCCGTGTGGCACCTTGCATGCTCTATGTCAACCAAACAAAATCTGGTGATGGAGTCTCCTGGACAGTCTCTCTCAGTATTCTTTTCCTGCTGCTACTTCAGCAATGTACATATTTCCTTTTCATTAGGCACTTATGTTATATTGTGTTCCGAACCAAGCCAACCAGCAGCCTAATTGGGATTTCCATACAATTGCTTGTTCTGTGAAGCCTCAGTGATTTTACCTAGACTGACTTCACCCTGTCACGACAATGCCGCATGATCCTTTTGTTTCACAGCCTTGCCTCGCCTCTTGCCTTTCTAACACCAGAGATGTTGCAGACCGCACAATCCCCTGGAGAGTGGCACAGAAGCATTCTCGCCCCTATCTCAGCGTGCATGTCTCCACGTCCCCTCTAGTGCCCTCCCCTCCACTGCCCTCCCCTCCACATCCCCTCCCCTCTGACGGCTCTCACTGCCTGCCCTTGCTGCGTGCAGAGACCTCTCCCACAATCACCTCACCACCCTACCTACCTCCATCGAAGTGTTTAATCTGTAAGTCCACATGGACATGAGCGATCCAGAGGGAGGGAGATAGGAGAAGACAAAGCGCTACACAAAGGAGCGCTCTTGGAAATGAGTGCAGCCTGGCCTGGGAGTGGGGTTCACATCAAGTGCACAAGGAGACAACCTGTTGGTACCTGATTCTTTGTGGCTCAAGGTTAAAAAATACGGTAATCGTAAAATGCGGGCCGTGGATTACGGTCGTAAATTACAGTTGTTTTGGCAAAAATACGGTCTTTTTTTTGTTGGACTGTTTTTGCAGCAATATTTCCTTCCAGAAACTACTAGAACGATTATGGATGAGCAAAGAAACGAACACCTGCTCGGTTCGCCTCGAACAGGTTTTTTTTTGGGCCGCTGCTGCAATTTACCCCGCGACGAACACGAACGTGTTCGAGGTTCGCCCGAACATGCCTTCACAGGCGAATGGCGAACACCCTTCTTGGGTTAAGTCATTCGGCGAACCGAACTTCGTGCAAGGGCGAGCGCAAACATGTTCGAGTTCGTCCTTTGCTCATCCCTAAGAACGATTACAACGATGACGAGGAAGAAGGCAACAAACTACACTACAGAGAAACAAGCCTACAATGGACCACTACACCACTACCATTGCTAAGCCTACCTAGTACCTACCTTTAGGCTAAATCTGCTCCTACTCTCTCCCCACACTCCCAACTCGGGAAAAAAACATACTCGAGTAAATTTGGGCATTTCTCACAAGCAGGGTGACGGTTGGGAAATGTCGAAATTCAAACTCGATTTCAACATTTCGGTCACGACCGTATGTTATAACCAACCTTATTCTGCAAGGTCACCCCGTTTGTTTCCGTAATTTACGACCGTAAATTACGATTCCGTCATTTACGGTAAATTTCACAAATACGATCATATTTTTTACCTTGCTCTCATCTACTCTCTGCTGATTGTCTCCGCTCATCTCATCTCATCTGAAGTTATGACTTTAGCTACGAGTCACGGGTGGGGTATGACGCCATTGGATGGACTCCACACATGCTCGTGACTCCCTTGCATTCCAATGTGCTTGCCACTTCATGGGCTTATAGAAACTTCCCATATTCAAGCTACTAACAACACACATAAAAACTGGGTTGACAAACCTTGAAGCAGCATGGATGAACAAAAATCATTCGTCCCACTTGGCCCCTTTCAGGTTTTCAGGGTGCTTATGGATTACCGTACTGTGAAACGGAACAAGGGAGCAGCTAATGGGTGAGTGTTCGCTTTGAAAACGAGGGGTTTGGATTTGGAAAAGGCACACAAGGCCTCCAAGACTGGGCAGGACAGCATCTGAGCCTGTGCGATCTCCCCCCTTTCAAGAGGGGTTTCCTTTTTCAAAGGGGTTCGGAAGCAGAGGCAGAATCACCGCTACACACACCACGACAGCGAGCTGTGGCATGAACGCAATCAGGACGGAGCCAACCGGTAAATGCTGCAACAGCTGGTTCGTGCTTCGGTCGCCTGTCAACCGTCGTGGCGTCAGTTGACAACTTTTAATGCCGTAGGGGCAATCATGTCGTTGAGTCCCCACCTGTGGAAGACCACGAGATTCCGGGGTAAAGTGTGCAGGTCCTGTCCTTGTCATCTTGTTCTTGTCATTTTTTTCTTGTCCTCGTCGCTCTTTGCTCGTCGTATGTGGAACTTTTCTTGAACACTCCTATAATTGCTTTATGACTCGCTCTATCTCCGACACCTGTTCCCCATCACGCATGGTAGAGCCTTTCTCTCCCATGCACCTGTTGCCCACACCCATTTCGCTACGCGTGAATAGCAGCAGAGGGTTTGCAATAACAACCACGACCAGGCGCGTCCTCCCGTTTTTTCCATCCATCACACTGCATGCCTCTCGCTCTACATCCAATGCCCCCATCACCAGTGCTTGGTTGCCATGCTAATCGTCTTTCGTGCCCTCCACAGAGACCTCAGTTACAATCCTCTTAGCGAATGCTTGGGTGTGTTCTTTAACATCATCATGGGTGAAAACGTAGTGTGAGTGACACCTTACAATACATCGTCATGTGGTATGTGAATCAGCAACGGCTGCATCGGAAGTTGAACTTTTCATATCATACTTCATGGCACTGTCTTTTGCTCCTCTCATTTGCTTCATCTTTGATAATAAATTTCTCTAGCTTTGTATTTCTACCTTCATTCCACCCTCCTGACCTCTAGGCCCTATCCACAAACCATTCCCCTTTTCTTTCCGTCCCCCCCTCCCCACTTCCCCTTCTTTCCTCCCCAACCTCCAACCCTTCTTTCATCGAGTGGTCCTCAGGTTGTATGCTGCATCATGCAATTTCTCTGGCCCGTTTCCTTCCTCCGATGTGCCAATTTCTCGGCTGTAAGCTTCTCAAAGTCACATGGTGCACAAAGTCTCAACATAACTCGTTGATGCCTGTGTGGGGTACAAGTTTCTGCTTTCCCAAGTATAGCTCAGGTTCTTTTTACTGTTTCACTTAGTGACTTTGTCAGACACCAATGTGGTTTGAGCTACACATGATTTGGATTTTGATCCGGTTTTTCGGCTTCTAGAATCAATATTTACTTAGATGCAACTTCTTCCCCTATATTTTATGCATTTGTGCATTTGTGTGGTAAAGAGATTGCACAAATGCCTTAGGTGGCTTCTGCATTGTGAATTGCCAAGATTTATTCAGTTTGCAAATGAATTTATGTGACTTGCTGATCCACCAGTTTCACCCATTCCACTGTTTCTCCTTATACTCCCCCTTTTTTCATGTATTTCTTACCCCCTCCTATGATGCCATCCCATCCTCTTTCCTTCATCATCTCACGAGCTGCATGCATCATTGTCCACCTTCCCTTTATGCCCCTCCTCCACAGCAACGTGTCTAACAACAGCTTCACTGGACCGTTCCCCTCCATATTCTTGAGTTTGGATGAATGGGATACCAAAACCATGTAACTCGTTCTCAGTCATGCTTTGCGGACCTCTTCTTTCCGTGGCACGCAACTGTGCCTCTACATGCAGATAACATGTTGCCATTTCCATCCAAGCCACTAACTTCATTGCATCCAAGCTACTAATTTCATTGCATCCACGCTACTCATTTCATTGCATCCTAGCCACTCATTTCATTGCATCCTAGCCACTCATTTCATTGCATCCTAGCCTCTCATTTCATTGCATCGTAGCCATGCCCTTTATTGCGCACAGCGACCTCGCACACAACAACTTCTCAGGACCCCTTCCACCAACAATTGCTGACTGGATTTCAGTGTATCATCTGTAAGTGGTATAGGCATCCTTCGTTCTTGCTACGACCTGGCCATACCTTCTTCTAAATCAGAT